TCTGGGAGAGGTAGAAAGAGACGGTGAGAGAAATAGTGAGAATTCACCCCACAGGAGGATAGCCATGCTGCAGTCCCTGCCCTTCCCTTCCCTTTTCCTGGGATTTTGGGCACACATGGCCAGCATGATTTTCAAGCCACCAGATCCGGGACTCAAACTGTAGCCAGCCATGTGGAAATCCAGCATTTTAACCACAATGCAACCTAATGCCCCAAGGCAGGCAATAGTCTAGATATTGGCAATAAGATAAAATGGTGCAGCCATAGGGTCCATCCTGTTCAGATTAGTGTTTGATCCAGTGGAAAATACAGCTAAGAAAGGCTGTTCCTAGAGAGAAGGGTGTTCCACGGATGAGGGACATGGGCATTACCACAAAGCTTTGGAGATGTGCTGGGAGAGACCTATTCTGGATTTAAGAGCAAGGATGGTGGGAGGCTTTCTTTATGTCTAAGCTCAATGGTATACATGAATGTTTGCAAAACATGTGTGAGCATTTAGTGACTAGACAGAGTAGAGCCAGAATGAGAGCTTTCCAAATAATCAGATTAGTATTTTTCAGTTGCTAAAAGACATGTTTGAAAGAAATAGGAGATTGAGATTTAAATGGTATTGGAGAGTCATTTGAAACTAGGTCACATCAGACTTTGTAAGACTTCTTAGAAAGTTTTTAATTTTTGTTTAGAACAATGAGACTATTAAGAGGTGAATGAATCAAAACTTTGTTTTAAGAAATTAAATGGGGCCAGCAGATGGTACAGTGGTTATGTTACTGGAACCCCACATGGCAGACCACAGTTGGAGTCCTGGACCCAGTGGCTTGAAATTCAATGCCAGGCACCCAAGACTCCAGGAGCAGAATAGTTGAGAAGGGATTGCAGTGTGACCATCCCTTCAGGGAATGATTTTTCACATTCCCTCTCACTGTCTCTGTCTCTCTCTCTGGCAAATGCATGCACCCTAAGGCATAAATCTGTTGAAAAAAAGAAATTACTGTAAATGTAGTGTGGAAACCAGATTACCAAGACAAAAAATTCAAATAGGCCAGTTAGGAGCTGTTAGTATAATCCAAGTAATGCTGATTTTGACCTAGGAGTGGTAGGAGATGGAAGAAATAAATTTAAGAGAACATAAAGGAGTAGAATTGACAACCCGTTCACCATGATTGTGGATGTGAAGGAGGGAAGGAATCATGGAATATGTTAATATGTCTGTCTTAGATGGCTGGTGGGCAGAACAGTCACTGGTAAAAGCAGGTGTGATGGGACAATAGCCTATTTTTGGGGGGACTCATAAAATTGTTTTGAAGATTAGGCGAAGTAGTTTATGTGACATCAACTATTGAGCATTATCGCTCATTCCTGTTGTCATTTTCTTTCCCTCTCCTTTTTGAAGTTGTCCAAGTAATTTAGCAGCAAAATTGGGACTAGAATCCCAGGCTTCTGTTTATCAGAGCAGAGTTCTTTGTTAATGGACTGCTGATCTATAAACAAAGATGAAACACAAGGATTTTAAAGCAAATATTCATAACTTATCCTGGAATTGCTTACAAGCTGACAGCTATCTGACTTATTTTTAGCTTATATTTAAAATGAATCATATGTTCCAAAGTGACTGACAGAAACACAGCTTTGTTTCTGAAGCCAATTCTTTCCCATCATTCTTGGACATCATTCAGAGCTATAACAGACTTTCAGGGTGTTTAAAAGCATTCGTCCATGACAACAACAAATGCTAATTATCATAAAAAAAATAGCTCCTGTTAACATCATTTTAGAATTTCTTCTACTCCAGTAGTATATTTCATCTATCATTCCATCTGTTTTGGGGGTGGGAATAAAGACTGGATGAAAGTATAATTATCATGTATCAAACTGGACAACACAACAAAATAGAAATGAATATAAATGGGAGGGATAGCATTCATAATAAAAAATCTGGAAAGGGAAAAAGGAAACATGCAAATAAAATGACTCGTACGTGTCCTGCAGTAAACAGCAGATACATAAGTCCATGACAGTCAATAATGTTTATCTTGCTGGGTATGAAGTGGGTTTTTTCCTATTTCAGTTCATAATCCTAACTATCCACAGATTTTTCTCCCACATCTTCAAATAGACATCTTGTTCTGTTAGGAAGTTTATAAATTACCTTTCTTGAATTCTGTCATTAAAATTCTACCTCAAGACTTTTAAACATAAAAAGACAAAAAGTCTATATATATATATATGTTTATGAACATATTCCAAGGACTTTCCTGCTTATGTTAGAGTTAATTCTATTATAAAATAATGAAGAACATGCAAATTCTCAAAAGTACTTTAAATTAAAAGAGACAAGTGGCCAATTGTAGATATAATTAGCTCATTACAAATAATGTTTAAAATATAAATTATCACATGTTCCTAAATAGGGATTAGAAGCAGAACAAGGGCTCATACTTTGTTTCCCTTACTTTAATAGACTTATACCTGTAACTGTAGCAGGTGCTTAATCAATATTTGTCAAATTAAACATTATAAAATGGAGCATTAACAAGCTTTTTTTCTCAGAGGATTTTAAGACATACTTATTCTATGAATAATTCTGTAACAAGTCTAAGTTAGCATTAATATTTAAATAATAGAAGACCTTTGAAATTTCCAAGGATCTATGTCACTTTCAAAGCAATGGGAGTAGCAGAGTTTATTTGAAATAGTAACTTTAATTATTTTAATAAATTTAATCTGAGGTCATGACTCCATTAAAAGTATATAAATATATAAATGTTAGTAACCACATATATATATGTGTGTGTGTGTGTGTGTGTGTGTGTGTGTGTGTAAATTTGCTTCAATGATATGAAAGTTTAGAGTATAATTTAAAGCAGGGCTAGCTCTATTACACACAAAGAAAACTTTACCAAATTGTGATATGACCTAATCATAAACTCCATTATATAATTATTCAACCACTCAAAAACTACATTGTGAATAAAAATGCCCACTGTAACTCAATGAATATATTGGATAGTTAAGAAAGGATATATAAACATAAACATTTTGAACATTCACTGATTTTCTTCCTACTATGAGGAGTTCTTCCTTTGTTTTAGAGAGATTTTTACTATAGAGCATGTGCACTTGCCAGAGAGACAGAAAGTGTGCAATCACCCTTTGTGGGGATGGCCATATCACAATCTCTTCTCTGCCACTTTCCTTTTAGGATTTGGGGCAAGCATGCACATGCACCCAGTAAAATTTTAAGTTTCCAGGTTTGGTACTTGAACTGTGGTTGACTACGTGGGAGTCTACTGATGTGACCATTATAACATCTGCTGGTCTCCCTACTATGAAGAGGGTTGTTTTTTTGTTTGTTTGTTTCTTTGTTTGTTTTGAGAGATTTTTGCTACAGGGCATATGCGTTCACCAGGAAGACAGAGAGAGACAGAAAGCGAGAAATCACCCCCCCCAGGAGTGACGGCCATGCTGCAATCCCTTCTCCTCCATTCTCCTCTTGAGATCATGGGCACACAAGCACACACTCTTGGCATGAGTTTAAGCCACCAGGTGCAAAACTCAAACTGTGGTCGACTAAATGGGAATCTAGCGACATAGCCATTAAGTCCATTTCTGGTCCTATGAAGAGTTTTAAGGTAACAAGAAATAAATAGAAAATATCACATGTACAGCATATACCTGTGTGTGATTATTATGTATGTGTGCATGTACTTATGAAGATATATAATGTTTGAGAAGAATATACCTGATCTATATAAGGAGGAAATGATCAAGTAAATAACCCCAAAACTCATGAAGCATATGTATCCATATTTATGTATTTCTATAAGTGACCATCCATAAATATAAGTAGTCCAATTTTTACATGCCCTGGATCATCATTTTATACCCAGAAAAACCATTCACTTAGAACCTACCATTCAAAATTTAGCATATAGAACTTCACCAATGACATAAAATAATGGGAATCAATAAAATACATTTAATAGCTCTAATTTCATCTGAAAGTTACATAAAAGATATGTTATCTTTAAGAGCTTTTCAATATTTCTAAGTTAAGATTATGTATAAATAATATTTTAATAAGAAAAACAAAATTACTATATGAATTCATATTTAACACATTATTAATCCACTGGAAATGTTTTTGAAAATTATTTTTATAGGTGTTTCAACTCTTTTACTCTTTGTTCTCTTATAAGAGTTCTTGTCTGACATTTTGTAAGCGATCATTTTTATTGATAAATAAACCAATCTCTGGGGAGTTTTAAATACTGCACTCATGAACAATGTGTGTCTTAGCATCATTTGGAAAACTAAAATTCAAGTGAATTTCAATCTTACTGTTAATATAGAGATATATTATAGTAAAATGACCTAAAATCATTTTTTTTTATGTTTTATTGGGTCGTCAGAAAAGTCACGGCATATTTTTCAATGTAAAATGTGTCATGACTTTTCCAACAACCCAATAGTTGAAAGAGCACTATTTAAATGATCACTCTATAGAAAATAAAATAGTGTGCAACTTCTCCACCAATACACTGCTAATAGAAATTAAAACTTTGTTTTTACTTTGGCTTTCATTTCTTTGATACTTGTGTGTAAATGATAATTCAGATAGTCATTCATATTCAAAAATAATAACATATATTAAAACAAGAAAGCACAGACAAGCTCTAAACAGAAAAACTCTTTAAATAATATTTAAAGAGTTATATTTCATACTATCTTCATCCTTTGTCCAATTTATAGTCCAAACTAGCTGATCTTTAAAAGAAAAAAAAAGAGTGTTTTTTTATAGAGAGAATGTATGCGATTTAGCTTTCCTTCATTGACTGTGTTACATTAGGGTTGGTATTTGATTCCAAATGTCTTTTCATTCATTAACTTAATGTTAAAACAAACAAAATGAAACAAAGAATTTAATCTTACTAATTCTTGGAAAAATTCCAAAACACTTATATTTAAAGCATAGCCCCAAAGGCTACTGATTTTTCTTACCAGTGCTGTCATCATATACAACTGTGACGGTTTTCCACTTGAAAAACTGCACCAGGTCTAAAATGGCACGGCTCAGTGAAGAAAAGTCTGGGTAGAGACTGACATAGAAGGAATCTTTGTTGTCTGACACCTGGTGCTTCCAGCGGGTCTGTATGTGGGGAACCCCCAGAGCATTGCAGATGGACTGCACTGCATTTGCTGAAGAGCTGTGTGAAGGCCCGAAGATGGCAGCCACCCCAAGAGACAGCTGGTCACAGGCTGAAGAGGAGATAGAAGTCTGTCAATAATGAGAGGAGAGATGCCAGTGTGCCAACAGATAATACATTATTATTATAAACCCATCATCCTAAAGAAAAAGTTTTCTTTAACATAACTTCATTGCACTAATTTTACATTTGTCTGACATTTTTTTAGTTTAGCACAAGGAAATTTATTCACCCAGACGCCTGTGACTCCATGTTGAAACAATTCTAGAAATAATGGCATAGGAGGAAGAGAGAGAAAGAAAGAGAGGAGGAATACATCTGAATTAAAGGGGTATGGGAGTGTTCATTTTGGAAGAATAGTTCATAGTAAGGGGAAACTGTGTTGCTTCCTATATTCATTGGCCATCTTCTACAATTTCAGAGTATTAATCAATAACAATTTGGCCCTTCCTTCCTACTCAATTAACAATGGTGATAGACACTAAATATTTACACGTATCTGATGATATTGGGACAAGCGATACATACGATAAGTCATATAAAACCTGCTATGGTTCTTAGTGGGTGATTATCCATGGGTTAGTCTCAGTGAGTACAAGGAACACCTAAATTATTTGGCAACTATTCAATGATCTGTATATATTTGACTTTTGGATGCTGTAAGTATTTTATATTGTTCTGAACTAATTTTTAGAGTTTGTATTTATTTCCAGAATAGGTTCTTCACATCAATAATAACCATTAACATAGGCATGAATAAACTAGATAAGTTGTGCCAGGACTTGAAAATCTAGGCTAAGAAAGTGAATCATCATTGGAAACATGAAAGTTGTCTTAAAATATTAAAAGAACTAGCTTGTGAAAAAAAACTTGTTTTATTTGACCAGCAAAAAGAAAATTAGAACAAATAGAAGTTTCTCATAAGCTTTAACCAAATTTAAGTTTTAAAAACAATTCCAAAGAGAAGCACAAACATGTCCAAAAATGAAACACTCTGACCAAAGAGGCAATGGTTTGCCTAACACTGTAAGTACTTAAGCAGGATCGAGGGGAATTGTAATTAGGATTTAGGCATAAATTGAGTACTTACATTCAATTCTTCTGAAAAGGATAATTTATAATTCTACTCTTAAATCATCTGATTATTTTCCTTGGTGATTTTTTACATGAAATACATTGTGATAAATTAATTCTTAAGGATAGTTATAAGTAATAAAGTAAATTTTAATTGAAAAAACTCATTGGTTTAAAATTTCTTCAAAAATTCAATCTGATCTAAGTAATTTTTGTATATAATATATATATATATGCACACACTTTTTTAATAACGAAATTCTAAAACAGTAGAAAGACTGGTGACTAGAATTTTGCATTCAACATCAGGTTTTAATTCACATACATTGAGAATAAAAGTTCTTTCTTCACCAAGTTTTTGACAAATTACAAACCAAGAAAAGCTAAAAACATTGTATGAGGTTACTTAGAATGTATTTAAGTATATTTCAAATAAAAATGAGAGTTTTCTGTTATCAGAGCTATTTAAAAATAATTTATGGGTCAGCTGGTTGTGGGGTGATTAAGGCAATGGATCCTATTTGGCTAACAGCACCATTCAAGTCCAGGCCCAGTGGCTTGATAAACATGCCTGATTTGTGTGAGTGCCCAAAATCCCAAAAGAAGGTAGAAATGGATAAGAAGTGATTGTGGCAAGACCATTCCCCATGGTGAGTGCTTCTCATTTTCCCTCTTTCTCTCTTCTCCAACATACCCACCCTCTGGCAAAATCAACAACAAAAAAATATTCTTTAAATAATAATATAAGCTCTAAATCAAAGTATTCATTACTTGAGAACAGAAGTATTACCATAGAGGATGGTCACACTTCCATTTCTCCTTTAGGGATTTTGGCATGAATGTACATAAACCCAGTATGTTTTTCAAGCCACCAGATCTAGCACTCAAACCACACAGTTGGCCATGTGGAATCCAGCTGCCTTAACCTCCATACCACTGGTTGCCCCAAAAAAATAATTTTTAAAAAATTTAAGAATGTCCAAATTAATTAAGTTATTTGACGATTAATCATTAACATTAATATCTATACATGCATTTATTCAATGTCCACAAGGTTCAAAAACAATTCTGGATCTATTCCTTATATTATCCCTTTATGTATTTCTAGGTCCTCTAAGCAGTAACAGCTTGATAAATAAGTGCTTCATTAGATATGATACAAATCATGACATTCATCCTTTTAATACCTTTCTAAGAAAGTTACTTATACATTTATTTAAGCTTTTCCTAGCTTCAGGCCAAAGCCAGTTAATGAATTTGATCCCCAATGGGTTTTTAATGGATGACAAAGCAGGTAAAAATTGCTTTCAGTATTTTGTAAGCCAGATGATTTAATCAAATCACAATTCTGCTAAAATGTTCCTGGGTTAGTACCCTGCTTGTTGTCAGAATATTCTAACTTTTTTCTTCACATTTTACTTGAGAACAGAAGTATACCATAGAGGATGGTCACACTTCCATTTCTCCTTTAGGGATTTTGGCATGAATGTACATAAACCCAGTATGTTTTTCAAGCCACCAGATCTAGCACTCAAACCACACAGTTGGCCATGTGGAATCCAGCTGCCTTAACCTCCATACCACTGGTTGCCCCAAAAAAATAATTTTTAAAAAATTTAAGAATGTCCAAATTAATTAAGTTATTTGACGATTAATCATTAACATTAATATCTATACATGCATTTATTCAATGTCCACAAGGTTCAAAAACAATTCTGGATCTATTCCTTATATTATCCCTTTATGTATTTCTAGGTCCTCTAAGCAGTAACAGCTTGATAAATAAGTGCTTCATTAGATATGATACAAATCATGACATTCATCCTTTTAATACCTTTCTAAGAAAGTTACTTATACATTTATTTAAGCTTTTCCTAGCTTCAGGCCAAAGCCAGTTAATGAATTTGATCCCCAATGGGTTTTTAATGGATGACAAAGCAGGTAAAAATTGCTTTCAGTATTTTGTAAGCCAGATGATTTAATCAAATCACAATTCTGCTAAAATGTTCCTGGGTTAGTACCCTGCTTGTTGTCAGAATATTCTAACTTTTTTCTTCACATTGTTTTTTTGAAGTTACCATTTAGAAATCTATTAATATTTTATCTATAATGCACTCATATTTCATGTTCTTTGGTCAAAAGGCTTTCATTAGAGGTAGAGCTTCTTCCTAATGGAAACAATCATGAACTATGCCACTAATCAGATGCACTTGCCTTGCAGTTAATGACTTATTTTGCAATTATGATGACAAATGTAGTATTTCACAGTAACCTTTCACCTTTTGTCAGTCTTTAAAACCTTTCATCACCCTATGATTCTGAAATATGGAAACTTACTTGTATTCATAAAGACATGAATTCAAAGGGCAGGCAGAAAATGACTTTGATAAATACTAGTTAGCTGCTGGGGGAAAAGGAAGGATACTTTCATCTCAAGAAATACTGTACTTTATCAGCTTCCATTAATATTAATGAACTTAGATGAAATCTGCACCAACTTAGAATTATAAATCATTATGTACATTTCTATCATTGTAAGGTAGCTAGTAACATTACAGGAAAGCAAACATTACTTAAAAATAAAGTTAGAACAAAGGTTTTGTAAGCTCACTCCTTTAAGAAAACCAGTTCTGAAAATTAATTCCTATTACATGAGTGGTAATTGTATAAGAGAAAAGACCAGTTACTATAGGATCACTAAAAGATACTTTACATACAACTATAGAAATACTTCTCAAATACATTTAATACTAAGATTGCTGTTTGGGAACAATAATGTTTTGATAATAGCTTTCTCTACTGCTCTCCCTCATATGTAAGTAATAAATTCATATGTTACAAAATTATTTTCCAATTATTGACATTTAAAAGTTTTACAATATGATAACATAAATGTAATATAAGGTATTCTAATTATTTCTTTATATAATCCAATTTTTATTATATTAGCCATTTATTCTTAGTTATAAGAAGAAACATCAAGAGGTTAAAAAGGATGAGCCTTATGGAATACACATACATTAATTGTTCTTCAAACTGTTCTGATAATATATTAAGATTGGGCTGACATTTTAAAGTCACTTGGGACCACAGAACATCTAAATTGAGTCTGCAATAATAACATAGTGGTATTGACAAATAATACAAATAAAATATAAGAATATATTATAAAACTTTATAAAATCCGTTGATACATGTTCTTTCATTTTAGTGGGTTTTTAAAAATAGAAATAGTTTAATAATAAGATAGAAGGATTAATGGATAAAAAACAACTTCACTGTCAGAGATTTAACTGCATTTTATGTTTTATGATATTTTTTGCAATAACTAATTGTATCACTCTATATTCTCTGATAAAATTTATGTACATTTTGAAAAGAAAACTTTGCAAATATACATTACAAATTATTAGCAATATTTTGGAATTAAGAAATCTTGTAAGAATACCTGTAAATACAAATTCCAGGAAACATAATACTAAATATCTATCAGTTACCTTTCTTGGATGCTTCAAAACTGTCGTAGAGGTTTATCTTCTGGGTATCATAGGTTAGGGTGGTATTTGGCAGCAAAGTTCTGTTTCTATTTATTGTGTTCACAGCAAATCTGAAAGCAAGTTCCTCAGCTCCCATTGGTCCAGATTCCACATATTCAAAAATACCACCTAGCAAAAGAAAGAAAAAAATCACACAGCTTTTACAAAACAGAGAAAAGGTCAGAAGTTTTCTGTACTTGTGTGTGTGACATGTTTAAGTGCACTGGATTTGCGCTTACTTTGTGAACTTTGAACTAATCCTTTAATTTTTGAATTTTGTTTTATAATTTATTATTTACATTTAATTGCTGTATATCTTTGGGGGATATCTATGGCCTTTCAAAGGATGCATACAGGGTGTGAAAATCAAATCAAATATGTTACTGCATTATCATCTTCAGCAAAAAAAAAAAAAAATTATATTGTGCAACTTTGATCTCCATTCTACTAGTTTGGGATTTTTGATATATTTGCAATATCCTTTTTTGAAAATTATCTCATAGTATATTGTTCATACCCTATTTGCTTTCTTAATTGCATTGTTATATCTGTTAAATGTTTTTTTTTACCCCCCCCTCCCCATTTCACCCCTCATCTCCCATGCAATCTCTGGTATTTACAGTTGTCCTCTCTACTTCTGTCTGAATCTTTCAATTTCTGCCATAAAGTGCAGACATTCATTTAGTACCTGTTAGGCATGGATGTGCCAGGTTTTTCTTTCATAGTCTGGCTCATTTCACTTAGCACTCAATGCAAATCAAAATCACAACAAAGTATCACCTAACCTCAATCAGAATGGCTACGATCAAACAAAAAAAAACAAAACAAGACAATAAAGTCCTGGAGAAGTTGTGGAGAAAAGGGAACCCTCCTGCACAGTCGGTGGAAATGCAAATTATTACAGTGACCGAAAAAAATAGAAGAGCTTCCTCAGATATTTACACATAGAACTACTACGTGGCCCAGTAATCTCATCCCTGATTATTTTCTGAAAACATAGGAAATCATTCCATTGGAGAGATCCTTGTGCATCTGTGTTTATCACAGACTTATTTACAATAGTAAGGCACTTATTATTACTTATTTACTACCTCTGGGTTTATATGCAAAGAAAATAAAATCAACATGTGGAAGAGATATCTATACTCCCCTGCCTATTGAAACAGTTTTACAATAACCAAGGTATAGCATCAGACTAAATATCCACGAGTATGGGACTGGACAAAGAAAATGAATACACACATGGATATCAAAAATGTATATACACAATATACTACTGAATATACACATGGACTATTCAGCCTTTCAAAAGGAAATCCTGTAATTTGCAACAACCTGGAAGACATTAGGCTAAGTGAAATAAGTCAGGCACAGAAAGACAAGTAATATATATGATCTCATTTACATGTAGAATTATAAAAAGTCAAACTCATAAAAGGCAAAAATAGAATGGTGATTGCTGAGGGGTGGGGGAATGGAGAGCTGCTGGTCAGAGG